CTTAACTCACAAACCTAATTATACACCTATAAATAATTAATTATCTCAGGTACAACTATATGTAATGCTAAAATTTTATTTCATTTCTTTTTTTATTTTCTCTCTTTTCCCCTTTTTTATTGGTGTTTTTGTTTTACTTTGTTTTATTTTGACGTTTTAAGATAAAATACAAAATATCTTATAAATAAATATATATTTATCATATGATTATCTATGAAATACCTATATTTCTCCATTTCGTAAAGTTGATGTTTTTACTAGTGAAAATAACACACTCGAGGTTTCTCTATATAGTGGAAGTAAGAAAAAGGTATTTTACGACATAATTTGCTTTCATATGTAATATGATAAACAGAATAGAGCGGATTTCGTATGAGTGGGACACCGTTACCGCACGGTTACCGCACAGTTACCGGACCTGGCCTGCACAATTTTGGTGAACCAATGGGGCACTAGAATTTGGTTACAGTACGATTACGGTCACAGTACAGTACCGTCCGTTTCCCACTCATACGAAATCCGCTCTATTACATGGTCGGTTGAAGAAACGAATTTTATATTCTCGTGTTGAAAATCTCTCAAGATCTTTTCAACACTCGAAGATAAAATCCGTATCTTCGCGCGCCCATGTAATAACCTCTATATAACTTATATTCATATAACTTATAAAACTCCATATAACTTATAGTCATTCCCATTGAAATTGTTCAGTTGTAAAGACGTAAGAAAAATATATCAAAGTCATTTGCATATGCCTTTTTTAAATTTCTTCCATATAATATTCAGAATAAAGCCCCAAAACGTCTTTACAAGGTCAATAACCTTTAATTCGCTATTTATCTAAAGTTTATAATTACAATTATTCCTGTGAATGTTTAAAACCCTTCTTTTTATACGTTAATTGGGTTGATTGTATCACCTAAGCCTGTTTCACTGGAGATTTTTGCGACGATATTTTACTGCGATATTTCGGGTGATTTTCAAAGCTATAATAGATTTTGACTTAAGTTCATCTCATTGTACTGGATAAAAGTTTACAAACACAAGTCGATTCTTCGATATTATTATCTAGAATCAATATGACTTTCAAAAATCTCCAAAAAATCGCCACGGGTAGATCTGAAATTTGGCAATTGACAAACGTCAATTCAAAATCTTGTTTTGTTTTTCTTTCTTTTTAGTTTAAGCAAATAGAAAGTAATAAAAATAATCAGAAACGTTTTTAAACATAATGTTTGTTGTTGTTTTTAGTACTTTTTATTTTAAAGAACTCTTCAGGAGTTTTTTGGAATATGATTTCACGCGAATTCGAGATGACTCCGTTTGCTCGACTTCTATAGAGTATATTGGAGCAGTTTTCTTACATATTTACCTTAATACTGTAGTGATTAAAGCTCGCATCT